ACTTTAAATCAAACTCCTACTTCTAATAGGTAAACAAACTCCTACTAAGAACAGAACTTAACTCCTATTTCTAATAGATAAAGTAAGAATAGATGGGATAAGGTAAGCTGGTGGAGAGATGGCAGGATAAGTTGTCGTGTGGGCCCCTCCTCATTGCTGCTGCCGGCAGCGGTATGTCTTCCCCACAAATGCATCCATAATATCACACCCCTCCTGGGCAACGAGCTTGTCCCCAAGCTCGAGATCCGGATAGGCGTTGTGAAGATCAGACCAGGGGATCCAGGTGGCCTCAGCTGATGGTAGTTCGTCCCACTCCACTAGGACTTCTAAGGTACCCCGATTGACACGGGACCGGACAAGAGCCCGAGGTTGGAGAATGGGTCTGCCATCCTTTAAGGGTGGTAGGGGAGGTACCTTATCAGGAGAAGTCCCTATAAATGGCTTGAGTAAGGACACATGGAAGGTATCATGGAGTCTGCTGTGTTCTAGTAGCTCGAGTTGATATGCAACCTTCTCGATCTGCCATAAAATCTTGAAGGGCCCGTAGAATTTGAGAGCCAATTTAGGGAAAGCTCTACATCTGAGGGAGTGTTGCCGATAGGGTTGGAGCTTCAGCCATACAAACTGTCTGGGTTCAAAGGTTAATTCTCTGTGGTGCTAATCATAGGCGTTCTTCATGCGTGCCTGAGCCTGTTGTAAGCGTAGGGAGACTTCGGCTAGGAGGGCATCGCGGTCCTGTAGGCTTCGGTCCACTTCTTCCAAACGTGTTGAACCGGGTTCGTAAGACAATAGACGGGGAGGGTCACGACCATAAACAACCCGGAAGAAAGTCATGCCAAGAGAGGAGTGGTAAGACGTGTTGTAACAATATTCGGCCCATGGAAGGTACTCCACCCAACGTCGTGGCTGGTCTCCCACAAAACAGCAGAGGTACATCTCTATTGTCTGGTTTACCACCTCCGTTTGGCCGTCAGTCTGCGGATGGTAGGCGGAGGAGAAGGCTAGGGCTGTTCCCTGCAGTCGAAATAGCTCATTCCAGAAGGTGCTAGTAAAAATCGGGTCCCTGTCACTGACGATGGATTCGGGTAGCCCATGCAATCAGAAAATATGGGTGAAGAAGGCGTGGGCAACTGAAACCGCGCTATATGGGTGGGATAAGGGAAGGAAATGAGCATACTTGGAAAAACGATCCACCACCACGAATAAGACCGATTTCCC